TTATATAATAATTACATTACATATTAATAATTTTCAAATGCTATTATTGCATATTTCAAGATTTTGGATACCAACATTGTTGAAATTACTATCCAAAAAAATCCGGGATACCAGATCTTTGGGGGGGATACCAGATTTCAATACCTGGTATCCCGAATGGATACCATAACAAAAATCTAATTTCGACCCCTGTAGTATAGTATAGTATTAGTATATAGCAATTTTATAATATAGGCACTTTGAAGTCTAATCTTTATGAAGTTACGACTGTTACTGCTGTAGCGGTGGCACCGGACCCTCGGGTTTCTAGCAGGGTGGCTCCCTGGGAACTGGAGTGTGGGTGATCCGGTTATTGCGGGAGCGCAGTAGCCTAGAGGCGCTCGGGTGGCTAGCGGCGTCCGGGAGGCAACGATACGGCCAGGACAACGCCTCCGGGCACAACGGGTGAGTGGAATACCTGAGGTTGTGTGCTAGCCATTAAGTGTTGACCGGTGGCGCCATCGGGTGTCGCCGGGAGACGCGAAACGCTACACTGTTATTGTAGCCCGACCAGGCTGTGCGACGGATTGTCTATACGGTCTCTAACGGTATTCTAACAATAGCAATACGGGTGAATACCGTTTCTTGGAGCTACTGTTAGTGTTACGTTAGCATAACCATAGACTAAGAATAACTTAACTAAGAATAAGTTATTCTTACTTAGTCTTCTTACTTAGTACTTCTTACTTATTCATAACCAAGTATTACTGGTTCAAGGATAGAGAACATGGGACCCATTGAGACCTATGTCATTTTCGTAAATGGGCCGTATTACTTATTCATACATTCTTACTCTGCTGCCTGCATAAGTGCCATAACAAAGCAAGAGGTAATGGAGGCTGCCATCTTGGATTCTTTTCTATAGATGTGTCCTTTATCTCTTCACTAAGTTTACTTTACATTGACAAAGAAACTAAGAACCCATCTACCTACCACTGTCACGTGATGTCAGCTTGTTGTTGCTTAGACTGGTACTCGGTCCCACCTATCGGCTTAGGGTTAGGGTTAGGGTTAGGGTTAGGGTTAGGGTTAGGGTTAGGGTTTGCGTAATCGAGTAATCGAGGTGGGAGCGAGTACCAGTCTAGTTGTTGTTTTTTCGTCCGGTTTGTGTAAAATCAGTCGCTTTTTACCGGTCATAGGTCCCGTCGCGAGTTTCGCCCGGTTATATCATGTACCTAGAATCAAGAGTACATATTACTATTAGGTACACCTTACTACTATTTTAGTACTACATTTAGTAGTATTATTACACTCTATTATGTACTCTTGTTAGAATGCAACCAACCATAGACCGGTGAATTTGCGTTGAAAGTGTGGTTAAAATAAGCGTTTCTGTTTTCAATAATCCGTGACAACCAATCACAAGTAATGTCAACAAAAACAACCAATCAAGTTGTCGATATGATTCATAACATATGCCGTTCCTACATAAAACTAAAAGGGATAAAAAATGCATGGCGGCCATGAGCTCCAATAAATGTAGAATTTTAGTAGTTGGTTGTGGAATTACTGGTGCTGTGACATCGTCACTGCTTGAACAGAAGTTGGGTGGATGTAGTGTAATCACAGCATGGGAGAAGGCAAAAGGGATAGGCTAGTGTTCCGATTGCTGATAAATTTATAGATACTCATACTGCATGTAGTCGATCTGTACAATGAATAATGTACGTAACCCAAACACAGGATAGTGTTATGGTCCTATCCAAATCCTATCGCGTGTTTGGGTTACATTATTGTATCTACTAGTACTAGTACTAGGACTGTAACGATACACAAGCCTCTTGATTCGATCCGTATCTCGATATTACTATTACTAGTATTAGCCTCTCGATTCGATTCCTTCGATTCGATTCCCAAAATATTGAAATGTTATCTTATTTTTTATATTTTCAATATTTTGCAATAAAAACTCAACCAACTATTACATTCTTTCTTTTTTCTCAATTTTATTTAACAAAATAACTTTAAGCGCATAATTAAACTCGTGGAAACTGCAGCCTAGACTGGTCCGCGCTCGACAAGCAGTGTAACGCGAGCAGTCACGTCTAACTGCAGCCCTGTAGCGATGTGCTGTAGCTGCTGATTAGCTGACTGGCGAGTCAGGACTATTGACCAATCAGAGCGGGCGTCTCATACACGCTTCGGCCAATGCACACAGTATGAAGTACTAGCGGGTTGGATCGGATCGAAAATACGGGAAAAAGTATCGAGGATCGGATCGAGGGAAGAGAATCGCGATTCGATTCGATTTCGGTGGATCGTTACAGCTCTAGTATCTACCTGGTACTATCTACTATGCCGGACCGTACCTCGCCTACTCCACTAACGTCGTTAACGAGTCTATAGGGATCGAGTCGCCTACGCCTACTCCCTAACCCTAACCCTAACCCTAACCATATCAGATAGTTACCAGGGTACGTTCCGATATATCAAACCGTACCCTGGGGGACATAGACCATATGAGCAATAGTAATAGTAATGGCATGCTATGCTAGGTTTCAGCCAAAGATATAGAAAATTAGAAAAGGTCAATAGAATTTTTATTCTATATCTATGGGTTGAACTCACAATTAACTTTTGAAGTGAAACTAGACATGCTATTATAACAGTCTAGAATAATAAGCTATAAAAGCCGGCGCAAATACACTTTCCTACCGGCCAATATGCCAGCAACCGTCCGGCCGTCGCTCCCGCTAGGCTGCTTGTAGAGGGAACAAAAGGGCTACACGGTTATAGCTCTAGAACTATAGCCCTTTGCTCCGCCACATGCAGGCACTTCCTGTGGTGGAGCGAAGGGCTATAGTTCTAGAGCTAGCACGGGTAGAGTTAAGTCCGACGAAGTTTGTCTCTCTGCATCTACATGATGTCGATAGCGTCTCTTGGACTTTGAAGACTAATAATTATGAGATTATGGCGCTTCAGATATTATTTCGCGAGCTATTTCAGCTCCTCAGCTCAATGTTGAAAAACTTACGAGCCAAAGAATGACCCATACTTTTGCTGAGAGGGTCTATGTCCCCCAGGGTACTGCCGGAATGTACCCTGGTACTATCTAATATGCCGGACCGTACCTTCATTCGTACTTCCACTAACGAGTCTATAAGGAGGGGCCTACGCCTACTCCCTAACCCTAACCCTAACCATATCAGATAGTTACCAGGGTACGTTCTGGCAGTACCCTGGGAGACATAGACCCTATGAGCCATACTTTTGACCATAGTGACGCACGAAGGGTCGTTGTCGTATATGGTAGTACAAATATGTACCCGAGGTAACTATCTGATATGGTTATAGGGTTTAAGGTTAGGGAGTAGGCATAGGCGACATATACTCGCCAACACCTCGGGTACTACATATACGGCAACGACCCCTTCAACCATAGTGACACCCCCGGCGCCCGGGAGTGGGCGCAACTCGCCTCGGAACTGGTTAGGGGGGTACGTGCCTCGGGGGCCTTGAAAACCTAGCTGACCCTGTCGGAAACCACTTTGCGCCCTAAAGTACACCCTGTCCCAATATACTGCAATAAAAAGTATATACCCTAGCTGTTGCAATATTGGCTTGCCTATATTATTGGTCCAATATTGGCTTGGTGATATATTGGCCCAATATTGTTTTGCCAATATTGGGCCAATATA